TATAACTTAATAAGCTAGCTTTAAAATTATTGGTAAAAATAGAAATGTCTTCCAAATGTAGATATATGTTCTAAGTTATGCAAGTCGGAAACTAGATTGTTTAAACGCTTTAAGGTCATGACTTGCTTCTTTGGCTTTTTAAAGTTGTTCAACTTTCCTGCTTTACAGGTTTTTAAGGGCTGGGGACATATGCCATGCCCCTAGCTATTCTGGAAACAGACCTGATCTGCACCTAAGTATGTAAGTAAAATAACTTACCAATTATTTCACCAAAATTAATAATTGCTAACAGTTGCCATTATAACATGTAATTGAGACTACAGAAACAGATTTACATGCAAGGTGCATAAGGAAAGTGAAATATGTCTTCAGTAAAATAAAATAAGGCATGAAAATGCAAATTTTTGTCTAGTTTAGAGGGTTAAAGGATTGCTTTAAATAAGACACAGCTAAAGGTTCAAGCATGTTATGGAAAGTTTGTAAAAATTGTAAAGAGAATCTGTATATGAACATATTGACTAAATTTAAAAGGGTATTATTTGGTTTTTCCATAAATTGAACATTGGAATAAAAGCACAACAAGGGTGTCTTGAGGCACTGACCTACCCTTTAACACAAATTTGTAAAGGATTATAAAAGGTTTTTAACAATCACACTTCGTGGTCAAACTGGTTAAGATTGGATAAAATTATCTATAAGGTTTAATTTAAAAAGTTGAGGTTGACTATAATAGACTAACACAAGTGTGAAATTTGGCTTTCTCTCTCTTGAAAAGGATTTTTCTTTGACTTTTGAATAAACTCTCTAAAAAAGAAGGGAAGGACAAGAAACAGACTGTTTGAAAAACTAGATTTTCCCTCTTGACAAGTAAAGGGTTTTGCTTTACAAAAAACACACAAACAAACAAACAAAAAAAACACAACACTTTGAGTCCTGACTTACAGTAACCTGAACTTCTACTACGTGTTTTGAGCCCTTATAGCTTCAAAATTGTCTTTTCTAACCCCTAGCTTTTGGGTGCTACAGAGGGCCACTGGGACATCCAAGGGAGAGGTAAACAGGATTATCTGACATGTTTACTTACATAGGATTGATCAGGTGGTGTTTGATTTTCAGGTTATATTTTAGTGAAAAATGTTAATGTGTGTTCCAAAAATTGTATGAGATTCCTAGAGCTCTGATGTGTGAGATTGTGTTATCAATCATAATTAAAGTTATGTGTTAGGTTATCATAAATCATGAAGGTGACTAAATTTCTTTCGTCAATCATGTATTTCACTGTGACTACCCTAGGACATTCTAACATTCATAGATAATTGTTGTTTTGATCCTCCTCAAAGAATGGATTATAATCCTTGAGTGCAGGTTTCTGATAACTTTGGAGATTGCAAACAGGAGTTGACTGGGTGAACTGAACAGAAGACTAATCTTTTTTGAACTTTTTGCTTGGAACATTGCTGATTCTTATGTTTTGTTTTTCAAAATCAAGGAAGCTTTTGAGTTATTTGTACCTTTTGACAATTGTGGAATTGAACCAACCAATGATCTCTGACTATAGCTCAGAAAAAATAAGGAATGGGCTGTTAAACTTCCAATGATATACAAATAGAGTCTCAGTAGATAGATCCCTTTTAATGGAAACCCTTGGATAGGCCTCTGAGAGAGAACTAATGTTTTCCCAAAACACCCCATGTCAGCATGAAGGAGTTAGGAATGGTCATTGTGCCTAATGCCCCTATTCTAATGACAGTTAGATGTACCTCTTCAGAGGGGGGATTGATGAGAGTAGCTGCTGCCATGATGCTGGCTGCAGCAGAGAGGCGCAGCTGGGGTTGCACACTCAATGGAGCTGGTGAGATGCCTCCCCTTCTGAGTTAGGGCAGGAACTCCCTGGGTGCTGCTGAAGACTCGGGCATTCTGCTCTACAAAGCAGGCAGGAGCCCTGCCCTCCCAGGTGGGGCTGCAGCCACCCAGACTATGGCTATGGATCTGATCCTCCTTGTGCTCATGGTGGTGGGCAGGAAAAGCCAAGATCTGCCCTTCTGGGTGTAGCAGCAGCCGCCTGACCCACGGCTGCAGATCTGGGCCTCCTGCTCCACAAGGATAAGCAAGAGCTCTGCCCTTTTCAAGATGGTGGGGTTGGAGCTCCCTGGGTGCAGCTGCAGTCGCCCTTCCAGGTAGAAGACTGGGCATCTCTGCTGCCTACATCCGTGGGGTCCTGGGAAGACCCTCCCCCATTTCTGCTGGCTTGGAGATGTCTGCTCCTGCTGCATGGTCTCTCTTCTCTCCCAGCACCCATGCACTCGGAGCTCAGAGCAGGGTTAGAGCCAAGCCCTGGGGCCATATAAATGGCAGCAGGAGGAAGACAGATTCCTTGGTGTAAGAGAGTGAGTCCCTTGTAGGGTCTAACCTTCAGGGGCCTGCAGACCAGAGTGGGGACTTCTGGTGCCTCCTCCAGGCCTGACCAGGGCCACACAATGGACAAACTGGAATGTACTTTCTCCTCTCTGAGGTCTGGAAAAGCCCTGGGCTCAGCCAGAGAGGGCAGAGGACACAGAAACAATGGGATGACCAGTCATAGAGAGGAGCTACCTTCTCTGCTGGCAGCTTCCGAGACCTGCAGAGACCTCAAAACGACCTGCCTGCACAGAGAAGTCACCCTCGCCAGGGCCTCCTCTCTGCTGACAGCTGAACACTCGATGGGATGGCCTGCCTACAGAGAGGAGCGACCCACTATGGGTCTCCTCTGAGCTGTTCTAACACTAAATAAATATTCTCTTTGTTTTCTTCACCCTTCACTTGTCTGCACATCTTATTCTTCCTGGACACAGGACAAGCTTGGGCAAAGGGGCCACTAGCCACAGAGGTTTCTAGGAAGAAAGCTGACACCTCAAAGATTCCATAACACTAATTATCTCATTTACTTCAGGCATAACATGTAAATTCTAACATATTGTCCTAAATGTCTAAATCTAATGTTGCAGACAAATTTGAAATAGGATACAGAAAGTAGAAATGTATAGAAATAGTGACATCAGTAAGATGAAAAATAAAAGGTGCTCTATTTTCTTATTCCCCCACAGCAAGAAAATTTGTCAGCCATCCCTGACAAAAATGACTATATAATAGAGCCAGACATTATGGCTCACACCTGTAATGACAGCTACATGGTACACTGAGGTTGGAGAATTGTTGCAGGAAAGGATTTCAAGATCAGGCTGGGTTATGTGGCAAGAACCCATCTCAAGTGCTTTTAATAGAGCTTTGAGATCCAGCAAGGAAGTTGTGAAACTTTGCTAAAGCCCAAGATTGAGGAATGTTCTTTTCAGAAGGCAGGCCCTCATTAAGGTGGCAAATTACAGGACCTCTGTTCCTGGCTAATGGCCAGGAAATTGTCCACCCAGCTTGGTCTCACTGAGAATTGTGAACTAACTCATCCCAAACTCCTCCAGCCATAGTCTGGGAGAGGTCCTGCCCTTCCAGAGGCCTGGAGGAAGATATAAATTAATAGCCATGCAGGCAGGCCTACAGACCTTGGCCTTTCCTATGATCACTGAAGCAGTTCAATGACTCAGTTTCAGCTTCCCAGATCACAGTTCATGGGCAGTTAAGCCTACATAGAAACCCACACAGTGACCTAGGAAAATCCTCTTTGGTATTCAGTGAAAGCCATACTCATCCACATCCTGATATAAGGCCCACCATATGCAGACCCAACTGCAGAAACTCCAGTTAGTGTCTGTTCTAAAGATCAAAGTCCTGAAGGATATTCAGTCTGTCTAAAAGTAAAATGGAAATTATAACTA